GTCTGGTGTTGGCCAATCACGTACTGCTCTCACCTTGTCAGGATCAGTTTGCACACCATGCTCACATACAATGTGACCTAAGTAAAGCACCTCTTTCGGGAACAAGTGGCATTTCTTGGGATGGACTTTGAGGTTTGCTGCTTTTAAATGCTTGAATACTTCCTCTAGCCGGGATACTTCATCATCAAATGTTACTGCAAACACAATGACATCATCCAGGTACACTAGGGTTATCCTCCACTGTAGGCCTTCCAGTACTCTTTCCACCAGCCTCACAAATGTTGCTGTGTTTAACGACTATTAGGGTAATTTTCTCCTACAAATATATCTCTATACTCTTCTAGTAACGTTATCAGATCTTGCTTAAGTTTCTTTTCTACATTTCCTAAGATAGAATCCCACTGTATCTTACTTTGTTGCACCTGTTTCTTGGTGTTTCTAATATTATGCTGTCCTTCCACAGCTAATTGTTCTCTACTACTAGCCTTACCTACTACTATATGTAGTATTACTTTTTCTTTGTTTACATTTAATACTTTTATAGACACCGTGTCTCTCTCTCGGATACTTTACTAATACAAGCAGCTACATAAACTCCTGTTTCTTCTATCTCAATGGGTCTAACTAACACTTCTTCATTACATTTAAAGTCGGCTACTTCAGTGTAACGAATTTATTATTATTATAATATATATTTATTTTAATACCAACGTTTGTTCAGATTAAATTTATATTTAGAAACATACACATCTTATATTGTTAAATATATATTGCGAAACTCCTGCCTATTCACCAAAGTTGTAGAAGATTCTCGAGAGTAAGAATCAACAATATATGTATATATGTACGTAATGCTCAGTACTGTTACGTAAATCTGAATTTTCTAGAAAGCCTCCACACGCCTATAAATATCACCAACGCGATGCGCCAAAAAGAGTATCTGTTATTAGTTTACTATAGTCAGTGTGCTATAAACTTTGGAAGCTATAACTGATTGTTATAACGCTTATCAATCGGAAAACTTCAGATATTTGACCAGGAGCCTTTACAAAGTTTGAACATTACAAATCATTTAACAGTGGATTCATATCAGACATTAGTACTTTTTGAAGACATTATATATAACTACAGCGGTAAAAGAAACTCGACCTGTAATCGGCGTGTGTGGCTGGTAAATAACGAAGGACAAAGCTAGTTAGCTTCCCGTTAAGCGAAAGTTGCCTACATCAACTCGTAATTAACTCGCTCATTATGAACCCTCGATAAGATATCGAAGAAGTTCCAGACTAGAAATAAGACTTTATACTGCTAGTAAGTTTGTGAAACTTTTGTTTATAAATCATTGTTTGTAATAACTATTTATAATAGCTGTTATTGTAAACTGTATTGTTGTGTGTGTATATTAAAACATATTCGTATTAAAAAAGAAAACTGTGTGTATCAATCTTGTTGGCAAATATCATAAACTGACTATATATCGTCTTTTACTTAACTGCTAAATCCAAAGTACAATTAAACTACTAGATTTAAATTTATCAGTTAACTCAATTTCAGGCTATTTGAAATTCTAATACGTAAAACTTAGCTTCAACAATAAATTGACTCCTTGCAGGTACTTCAGTTACTTTAACTAATCTTACAGGTACTCTTTCTTTCAAACACTCCTGTTGGAATGCTCTGTTGTTTATGTTAGGCATATGTGTAGAGTCATTTGAGGGGTTTTAGTTACTACTTCTCTGTTTTAAAGTCTTATTTGCTAACTTGTTCTGCCTTACTTTACTCTTCATTTTCTTACTACTACAACTATCACTTCTGCAAGACTTAAAGCTTTTCTGTTTATTTTTATTCACCAGATTTCTTTTTGAACACCTAATATTCCTACCATACCAACTGTGTTGTGTGCCATTATGCTCTAGAAGATCAGTGTATTCGTATTTAGATGATTGAGCATTAGCCTTGCTAATGCTAGCGTTAGGCGTCTGA